GGGAGTTAGTGGGGATGAGGAATAAGGTAGAGAAGGTTAAAAAATAATTTTGAAAAATATTTTTCCTTTTCTAGATAGAAAAAATATTTTTCTCGAAAATGATTTCATGAGGAAAATATTTTCCGAAACATATAAATCAACAAAATATGAGAAAATTGAAAAATCCTTCGCACCCGACACACCCAAAGACAAATATTACCGACTATTAGATGGGGCTGCTGCTCGTGTTTTAGAATGGCGTTTTGGACGATTTTTTTTTTTTTTTTTTTTTTGGTAAGTTATGGAAAAAGATTCTCTAACGTAAACATGTTTGGATGATTGTTGGTGTTAAGAAATTTTGTTTCGTTCACGACAAAGTTTTTCTAAACCTAACTCAAGGTTATAAAAGAAAGAAAGAAATGAGCACCACGCAAATTATTTGGGAAGATTTGCGATGTCTAAACGGCCCTCATTTCATGTTTCAGTCAATTATTTCCATATTTAATGTGAAAAGAAAAGGATGTGTTAACTTTTTTCCAAAGTAGTGTTTAGATAAAATTAAAATTGGGAAAACAAAATTTTAAATGGCTAATTCTTCTGTCTAGCCTTGTTCCGGAAGTTTGCTCGTATCACATATCTCCTGCCTATCTATGGTCTTTCACATTTTCTTCCTACTACTCTGTAGTGTTTGTTTATAGAATTCCAGGGCGTCATGTCATTCATAAATGAATTACGATCAACAATATAGAATGAAAATTTGTAGAGCTTAAAATTTTGGAAAGAGAACATGTTTTATAGTTTTCATTGAGTCACCTGCTTGACTCATACCAACGAATATTATTTCATCAGGAACATTAATTTGAATCAAATTTTATCTATATTTATTTTTCGTGATTCAGAATTATATTTAAGGTGTTTCTAAATTATGAATTAGCCACACGATCGAAGAGAAAGATTATTTATGTGAGTTCCTCAAATCAATTACCAAACCTATCAAGATGGACATTCTAAAGATTCATTTCTCGACAATTGTGGAACTTGCGATTCCCTGTTGGAGTTTTTTTCTTTCAAATGATATATCTTAAATTCTTAAATTCTACTCTTAAACAACTTATCCATATAACATGCACACAACCCATTTAGGTAAACGTCACATTTCTTTATCATTTGCCCACAAAGAAGAAACATCTGCAGGAGCACGAGATACATGGTAAACTATTTCGTTATAGGTTATGTGACTTCTCGCGATATTTTATCCTTATTTTTTGAAAGAAAATTATTATATCACAGTGTAATACTAGTATAATAGAGAGTGTTAGATTTTGATACAGTATATATTTTTGTATGCAAATCGCCTCATATTTTACTCTTCTTTTGTTGGTTTTTATGTGTATTGCAATGAGTTGAGCTTATTTGGGGTATTTTATATATATATATGGCAATTAATTGAGGGTGCAGTGTGTTGGATTATATATCACAGCGGAAGCAATCACAGTATCATATTCACGTGTGAATTAAACAATTAGCACATACGGAGATTATTTGAGTTACCTCTTGAAGCGTGAACAAAGCAAATCAATATCCGTCTCCAGTTCCAGAGTTGCAAGACCTCAGCAAACTTCCACAGTTTTCTACCGTGTTACCCAAATAATATCCGAAAAGAGAGAACTTCGGGTGGGCGAAATTCAAGGAAGAAAAACGTGTTGTTTTCCAGTGTTGTTTTTCTAGGTTAAAACACTTTTTCAAAACCTGTTAGGTTTTCTTCTTCCACTAAGGAAATGTTTCCTTTATTTCCCATTATTTAAGCACAGTAGGGACCACGAAATTTAATTAACAAGGCTTTCTATTTGGAATTAATTTCGAAATTTGAAATTAATTTCTTCCATAATAAATTACGAATTATTCCACTAAAACTTCGTAATTGCACTCCTTAGTTCAATTTTGAAATTCTTCCATAAAACCTTATTTAACCCCCCATGTTAAGATTCAGATACTAACCAATCAAATTAAATTACTAACAATTTAATTTATTGGTTACTTCCTTTAGACTTTCACTTAACTTATTTTATGTGTCGGATACAAAATCCACCGACCGGGTTTACACATGAAAACTTATAAGCTTTCATAAAGGAGTATCATCAATCTCAAAAACGAGACATGGATTCTATCAACTAATTATTACTTCGCCAATGTATATCATTATTGTCCAATTTACCAGGCTTATTGACCCACGAAAGAATCTCGCCTTTTAATAAATCAAAATAGTAAATGATATACACAACTAATAATAATTATATCAAGATTAAGAGTATAAGTACATTGAATGGACTAGAGAAATTATTTTTTTAAGTCAATATAAAATACCTATCTCTACTTGATCCGTTCAATACACACAAAATGTACTAGCACAAGAAGTTGGAATTAAACCATTTCCATAATCAAGATAAATTATATTTAATCTTGTGCTACAACCATTCTGATGGTTTGTCCAATTCCATCATTATATTGTGAACATAAACTTTATGACTTATAAGAACCAATAATTTAATCTTCCGTGTATAAGCTAAACTCTATACACTAAATCATCTACTATATAAGCAACGGACACACAAACAAATACATGATCTATTTAAAATAAAAACTTTATTGAATTGAATAAATAAATAAATAATTATTCCATAAAGAATACTATAACAATACGCATGGTTTATAGTATATCCTAACAATCTCCCACTTAGACTCATAACCATGCGTCTACAATTCTGACACCCATTCCGTCTACATGCCTATCAAAAGTCTTCTGTGGCAAGCTCTTAGTAAACGGGTCCGCCAAGTTGTTCTCCGACGCAATCTTGGTGACTACTACATCCCCTCTTTGCACTATCTCACGAATTAAATGATATTTACGCTCAATGTGATTTGCTCTTTTATGGCTTTGTGGCTCCTTTGAATTTGCAACCGCACCACTATTATCACAATAAATTGTTGTTGGTGCTTCAATAAAGGGAACCACATTCAACTCTCTTAGGAAGTTCTCGAGCCAAACCACCTTTTTCGCCGCCTCAGAGGCAGCCACATATTCGGCTTCCATGGTGGAATCAGCAACACAAGTTTGCTTGATGCTCCTCCAACTTATGACTCCACCTCCCAGAGTAAACACATTTCCTGAGGTAGACTTTCTAGAATCTCTATCTGACTGGAAATTCAAATCAGTGTACCCTATAGGCACAAGTTCATCCGAATGGTAGACTAGCATGTAATCCCCAGTCCTTTTCAGATACTTGATTATATTCTTAACCGCTGTCGAATGCTCTCTCCCAGGATTAGACTAAAATCTTCTAACAACACCAACAACAAAGCAGATATCAGGTCTAGTACATAACATAGCAT